AGAGAGGGTGAGAGAGGGAAAGAGAGGGAGAGAGAAAGAGAGAGAGAGAGAGAGAGAGAGAGAGAGAGAGAGAGAGAGAGAGAGAGAGAAAGAGAGAGTGAGAGAGATTGAGAAAGAGAGAGTGAGAGAGAGAGAGAGAGAGAGAGAGAGAGAGAGAGAGAGAGAGAGAGAAAGAGAGAGAGAAAGAGAGAGTGAGAGAGAGAAAGAGAGATCACAAGATAAAGAAAAACGAGAAGGATATAAAAAAACCATTATCCACCACTGACTCCATGCAAAAACCCCATAGTCCCAAAGTACCCATTATAGACACTTTCTCAGGAACATTCCTCTTTAGTCCACACGAACAAACAAAATCACGACAAATGTACACACAGGGGCAAGGCAGGTGCTACACGCAGTCGGCTGACAACAAACAAAAAAATCTCAGCCATGTTACAGTGCAAGGACACAACCCCGAATAATACAGTCTAGCATGCACATCATAAAAAAATGCATGGAACAAACAGATTTTCCAGGTCCTAATTATTTTTTCTAATACAGGCCTATCGCTTGTCTTCAAAACACACTTCACTTGCATGTGGGGAGTCTTTCGTTGGATGAAGATATGTGTACAAGTATTGTAGCCACGTGCATCAGCGTGCTTCCTTCAATAACAGAGATTAAAAACTACATAATACTATGCCAGCATTCTGCGAAGCAAGGTCTACAGGAAGTAGTAGAAGAGAGTGGACTGTGTCGGAGCAAACAAAAAAAAGCGGAAGAGCTTCTTGGTCGAGGAAAAGCAACTGTTCCAAGCAGAGGTGAATAAAAAATCATTAAAAAGCCAAACCTGCTAAATGTTTGGGATTTTGATCTTTCCAACTCAACTCTAACAAGATCACAAGAATAATATGTGGCAAGTACCACGGTGGGATGAGTGGACCAATCAAAAACAAGGCTGGCAAGCTGCTGACAATCGAGAAGGAACAGGAAGCACGCTGGACAGAACACTTCAGGGAAGTCCTAAACCAACTTCCACCTGAGGACACCCCAGACATACAGGAAGCTACCTTGGATCTGGATATCAGCTCTGACCCACCACAGAAACACGAGATTGTAAAAGCTGTTAAGAGCCTGAAATCAAGAAAATCTCCAGGAATGGACAACCTGAATGCTGAGTTGTTTTAAGTAGACCCAGAACTGACTGCCACCATTCTTCAGCCACTATTCAAAACCATATGGGAGGGAGAGCAGATTTCGGAGGACAGGAGTACTGGAGTCATTGTTAAAGTACCAAAGAAAGGAGCTCTTAGAGACTGCAACAACTGGAGAGGTATCACGTTGCTATCAGTTCCCAGCAAGATCCTGGCCAAGATTATTATTAATCGGATGTCGGATGCCGTGGACAGCTGCTTAAGAAAAGAACAGGCAGGATTCCGCAAAGAAAGAAGATGCACAGATCAGATATTTGCCCTCCGCAACATAATAGAACAGTGCACGGAATTGCAGGGAAAATTTTATGTCAACTTCGTTGATTTTGAAAAAGCATTCGACAGTGTACATAGAGAAAGTCTTTGGTACATTCTACGATCTTATGGAATCCCTTGCAAGATAGTGGAGGTCATCAACAGCTTCTACCAAAACTTCAAGTGCGTTGTTGGAAACAGTACCACTGCTTTTGAGATAAAGACAGGAGTTAGACAAGGATGCAACATGTCAGCAATTCTGTTCAACCTGGCCATTGACTGGGTCATGAAGAAAACAACAGAGGATACATCAAGAGGCATAAGGTGGACTCTCTTCTCCACCCTCGAGGATCTTGACTTTGTTGACGACCTTGCACTACTCTCCCATACCAACCAGCACATACAGGATAAAACAAACCGACTCCACAGATTGGGTTAAGAATAAGCCAGAAGAAGACAGAAATGATGACACTGAATGTAGGCTCCCCAACACTGATTAGGGTGAACAACACAGACCTGCCTATAACAGACACATTTACCTACCTAGGCAGCATAATCAAAACTGACGGCGGCACAAAGAAAGACAACATGAACAGACTCGGCAAGGCAAGATCTGTACACAGAAGCATGATCAACATCTGGAAGTCAGGACAGTTCAGTATACAAACCAAGTTAAAGCTGTATAACAGCTGTGTACTATCCACACTCCTATATGGAGCTGAACGCTGGAGGATGACTGATCATGACTGTGCCAAGCTATCTTCCTTTCATGCAACCAGCTTACGCCAAATCCTCAGAATCTTCTGGCCCGACAAGATTTCCAATGCAGATCTGTTACGAAAATGTAGGCAAGAGGACATGACCACCACAATATAAAGGAGAAGAGGGAAATGGATTGGACATGTTCTGAGAAGAGAACCCGACTCTATTGTGAAGACTGCCCTCCACTGGACACCCGAAGGACGTCGCAAAAGAGGCAGACCCAAAGTGACCTGGAGACGCACAGTAGAGTCTGAAATGAAGTCCTGGAATCATTCGTGGGGAACGCTGACCAAGATGGCCCAAAACAGACATAGCTGGAGATCCTTTGTTGGTGTCCTAAATGCCAGATGGCGTAATGGGTAGTAAGTAAGTAAGAAATTCAACTCTATCAACTTTCCATTAAAAACAAGGGGGGGAGAATGAGAAAAGCTCTGAAGCTGAGAGAAAACAGGCATAAATCAATGTGATAAAAGTAGTGTTTCGCGGGTTCCAACAGGCTCGGATTAGGGGGCATAGTTTATGTTAAGTTTTGACCCAAGTGTCCAACTGTTTATTTCCCTTGATATAACATTAACATTTTACCTCCTGGGGGTGGGGGGGGGGGGGGGTGGTAAAAGCCACTGTGCCGGGCCCTCTTTTGGGACCAATTGACACATTCCTCACTAAACTGGTCATTAAATCAAACTAGGAAATCTACTTTGATAGTTCTCCATCTAATTATCCCTATCCGTACGCCCTGGTGGTCATTTTGTACTCCCAGGGCTGTGATCTTCTTATTTAAGAATACTTCTAGTGCGAAGATCTCTTTGAAACTTTCAGTATTTCTCAAAAATCATTTTGACAGACTGCTATGCAAAGCGTACAGATCGGATTAACAAATAAATTTCCTCTTTGGAAAGTGGTGGCACAGAGTTCCCCACGTCATATGAATACGATAGTAAAACACAATGTACGGATATGATTAACTCATTCGCTACGCCGAGCCATGGGGGACGGCGCGGCAAAACCGATCTTCAATTTTAGCTTAGATTCTATTCCAATCTACATATCCATGTTAAAATAAAGGTCATAATATAATGTTGACTTCCGGGTGAAGCGTTTCCACCGAAAATCGGAAGTTTTGGTTCAGTTTTGAAACATGATTTCGAAGTTTATGCAACTTTGTTTTATTGCGATGTTCAAATTACAGCCCAGACACCAGTCTTACTACTTTTACACAACAAAATATATCATTATTTAGTACACTAAAGAAATGTAGGACTCTTCTTTAGAATATTGATACAATTGGGCTCATATTGCCTTTGCTCTGTTTTTGAGAAATCAATATTTTTCAGATCTAGATCTAGATCTAAATTGTCAAATTATTTTTTTCTCCCCAAAAATCACTATTTTTGGGTGAAATTACACAAAAAGTACCACTCAAGACATGTGTAAGTTTATTCCAAATACAATTCTGAATAATTCCATACAATACGAGTGGTTTTTTCCTGTTTGTGAATACATTTTGTCCTTTTTTCAAGATTATAAAATGTCTGTATTTTTTTTCTTTCAATATCGGATGTCATGATCCAAATGTGCAAATTTTATGGAATATATATATATATATAACTGCAAATTTTTCATTATTTTCCAGTTCTATATTCATTTATGGTTATTTTGATGTATCTTTCGACTAGGTGCAAACATATTTTTTGAGTTTCATAGAAGATTTTTTATTTTTTATTTTCAAATTTTATCCGCTTCCAAGAAAAATTGAGTTGCATAATCGTCTCTTACAGGAACCAAAGGTGAAAAATACACAAATAAACATTACAGATGTATTCTACAAATCATACTGAAAATTTCAGTGTATAATATGTTAATATTTATTTGAATTTGTGGCCCCTTTGAACTGCGCACTAGTCATCATCTCATTTTGCCTTCCCGTAAAAAAATTCGTCCACAAGCCGAAAATAATGCGTAGCAAATAAGTTAATGAACTCCTGGTAAGAGCGGAAAACTAATTTGACATTGAAGTCATCGTAAAGAAATTTGCCTCAGCCATTGTCAGCGACTCACTGGCACAGTGGTTTCGACCAAGAGCAGCTCCTGGGAGCAGCTTGCCGGAGATAAGGATTAAATTCATACATCAGAAAAAAGATTTCCCTGTCCCGATGATTTTGCTACGTGCGTGCTAGAGAGTATATGCATAAAATAAAAGAGAGCAAAAACCCCCCAAAAAAGTTTCAATTTACATCATGGCTTCATCATAATCCACAGGAGTACCTTCAACAAGCCATTTGCAACAAAACCAAACCAAGAGTTTCAAAATAGAGATTCTGACCTCACAAAACAGTTTCTTATATTCTGATCATATAAGAGCATATTATCTTAAAAGAAAATCATCGACAGATGAAAATTTGTTCTTAACGTAAAGAGAAACACATTAACACAATGATGGTCACATAGTGCAAGGAAGAAGCAAGACAGATAGACAGAAACAACAGAGGGAAAGAAAAGGAATGGGACATACCAGTGGTGCCCTCCAATCACCTGCTTTGTATAATATAAATAATATAGAGGAATGGGCATTAACGTTTTAAAAAGATGAAGAATTATGTCTGTAAAAATGGAAAAAATAATAACCAAAATCTCAGAGGTTCCCAGAGAGAGAATTCAGGAGTATGTAGCTTTTTTGTTAAACACATAATGATCTAACTATGAGTACTGCGCCTGCCCATTTTTATATTCTGAGTGGCCCAGAGTGCTTTTCAATTGCCTTGTTCTGTCTTGTTTCAAAGTTCTAATTCTGCA